AGACATGCCTGGATAAGGAATTTGTATTTATTTCTGTAGGCAATGAGAATTTCATCAAACAAGGAAGAGAAGTGATATGATGGGGGTTGCAGCTTAAGGAGATCAATCCATTCTCCTTGGCACCATTAGATTAGAGTGATGGGCAGACTAGTTAGAAAGCAGTTGTCATGACTAGGAGAGTAAAAATGCTAGGGGAGTTAAGGTAGCAGTCATGGAAATGGAAAACAGTGAATGGAATTATGGCAATCATTTAAGAAGTTTTGATATTGGATTGTGCAATGCGAGGGGAAAGGTGGGGAGAGCCAACTGTGACTATGAGGTTTAAACCTTAGTTTCTATGAAAATGTTAATGCCATGGGGAACAGAGAGGGCAAAAAGAGTAATTTAGTTTGGATGATCAGTCATGTTTTGGACATGTTGAGTTTGAGGTACCTAGCTGGGTATCCAGGTGTCAGAAGTCTTTAAGGCAGTAAAGAATGTGATGCTGGAGCTCAGGAAAAAAGTTTAGGATGAGAGACAGCCTTATCTTGATTATTTTTTGATTATATCTTGAAATAATCAAGATAGCTTTATCTTGATTATTTCCAGTTGCCATTAAATTCTTGGGGTTTTATGGTTATTTGGATCACACGTCATTTCCTGATTTAAGATTAAGTGGGCTCTCCAATTTTCTGACTTTGAGTATCTCTCATTGTGGGTTTTCCAGGAAGATTGGGACTGATCAGACGGAGGTGGCCTGGGGATGGCTCTTCAGCTTCTTTGGTGCTCTTAGTGCCTTCCCTGTGGTTTTTCCATGGCCTGTGCATTGTGAAACTAGCTTGTGTACTTATTTTGTTTGCGCCAGTGTCGGGGTGTCAGGGAAGGGTATTTTGTATACCTCTTACTTGCTGAAATATATGAAATGAGATCCATGAATTAAGAAACAAAAACATTCACTTGTCAGATTGACTGTATCCCTCTCTCTTTTTTGGCTCCAGCTGGATAAAAAAGCCCATGATGTTGAAATTTTAGTTCTTGTGAACAGGAAGAATTAGGAAATTGGGGGAAAGGAGGAACTTGTGAAAAAAGTTATAGCCTGTTCTATCCGAAATTGACTTAAAGTGTCTAGTAAGTCCAGTTTTATGTGGTGGGAAATTATCTTGTCTGTTGATTGAACATAAGAAGAGGTTCTGATATAAATGTTTTTGGAGGAGAGTGTGGTATTTAGGGCCTTTGCGTCAAGGTTAAAGAGAGCCAGACCAGGAAGAAAACATTAGCAAGGTATTTCTGTCTCACTGTGGTAGAATGCAGCTAAAAAAACATGGCTTTGCTTCTGGGCTCCAACGTTGGCCTGCTTTGTGACCTTGAATAAGTCATTTAACTATGTTCAACCTGTTTCCTCATCTGTAAAATGATCAGAGTAGGTTAAATGCTCCCTCCCATCTATAAAAATGTTTATGACTAAGGTAGTGAAATGTTTGACTCCCAATCCACTCTATGTCTGAAGTCGTGGGGAAATCAATTTTATATTGCTAGGAAATAGGGACAAAACACTTTATGAGGTTAGAAATCTTGCATTATTCAGAGGATTTTAGTTGACCTTCCTTTAAAAACTCAACTGTCCTTGTCAGAAGTGTAACCTGAGAATGTTAAATCCAAGAAAGTTTCTAACATCTGTAGTACTTTTCCTACCAGAAATTTCAGACCATTCTTCAAAAATTCAGGATGGATGAGGAAGTCACCACTAAGGGAAATAGTTCCCTGCTCTGTGTCTCTGGTCTGTGCCCAGACGCTTAAGATAGCTACTCTTCTTGTCTAAGCACTCTTCCTTGTTCTTTATTCTTGAATATTTTTTATTCGTTACAAGCCCTTCCTGATTCTTTAATCACTAAAAACAGAGCTTTTAGAGGGGTAGAAGAGGTGACAGGCTTGTTGTAATGTTCTTTTGTTTAAGCTGATTGTATGTGTAAAGAGGGTGGAAGAAAACAAATTATTCTTCGTGTGCATTGGTGCTGTATCAAACAAAAGGAAGAAACAAAGGTTAGAGACATTTCTCAAGTTTGAATCTGTGTCTGGGATTTTTTTCAAATCTGCCTCTGAAACTTAGACCTGTGTTGACAGAGAGCACATGCAATATTAAATGTGAGTCTTTCAGCCAGCCTTTCTTAGCTTGGCTTGATAGGATAGTGACTTGGGTTCTGTGTGTTTTGGCCTTAAATCATGTAAATTAATAAGTTACTGCTCTGCAGAGGGAGCTTCTAAAATGTTTTGTTTTTGTTTTCAAATGGTTCTCATTTAGACAAATCTCAAACAGCTACTTTAGTTACTTCTAAACTTTGTAGTTACGTTTAGTTTTATCTCATTTTGGCATTTTTCCAGTGTGTAACTTAAATGTTTCTGTCATGATTTTTTAGGAATGTGCCTGTGAATGCTGGGTTTCAGGATCTAACTTCAGCAACAAAGTAACAAGTCTGTAGATATGTTTGAGTCTAACAAAATAACTTATTTTTAAAAATTATTATATAGTTACTTCTTGATGTATTTTAATTGATCAGAATCAGACTATCAAACCAGGCATGGTAGCTCATGCCTGTAATCCCAGCACTTTGGGAAGCTGAGGTGGGCAGGTTGTTTGAGCCTAGGAGTTCGAGACCAGCCTGGACAACATGGGGAAACCCTGTCTCTGCAAAAAACCAAACCAAAACAAACCCAAAAGTTAGCCGTGACTGTAGTCCCAGCTCCTTGGGAGGCTGAGGTGGGCTTGAGCCTGGGAGGTGGAGGTTGCAGTGAGCCTTGATCATGCCAACTGCACTCCGACCTGGGTGACAGAGCACAACCTTATCTCAAAAAAAAAAAATAAAAAATAAAGAATCAATTCATATGTTCTTTAATGTAGAGGTTTTTCTTCCTCTATATTTAGTAGATTTTTATTTCAAATTATTTTCCAAACATTGAATGAGAATTGGCTTAAAGATTAGGGAAAGAGGCATCCCAGGTACACATGGGGTGTTGGGGTAGGATACTTAACCAGGGACAAATTTTAAATTACAGCTAAATCTGTCAAGGGATGAACATATATGGATGATGTAATGTTAACTCTAGTTTGAACTGTTCTGCAGTAACTTTTAATTACCTCTCATAGTTTAGGCAAATGTGCTCATCCATTGTCATGGGTTTTACAGATTATAATCAGATTGCTACTTACTAGCCACAATTTACCTTTAGGTGGTTTATGGAACACACATGGTGTATAGTGCTTCTTGGCTCACAGAGGGTCTCTTTGGTTCCCAGGCTAGACAGAGTACAGTGGCGTGATCGTAGTTCACTGCAGCCTGGAATTCCTGGGCTCAAATGATCCTGCCACCTCAGTCTCCCTAGTTGCTAGGACTACAGGTGTGTGCCACTACGCTCTGCTAATTTTTGTATTTTTCATTGAGACTGGGTCTTGCTGTATTGCCCAGGTTGGTCTTGAACTCCTGGCCTCAAGCCATCTTCCCCCCTCAGCCTCCCAAAGTGCTGGGATTACAGGTGCAGACCACCCAATCCCTGTCCACTTTGATAGTATTACTGGAGAATATTAACTTAGTTGTGTTAGGGTTTATAACTGTAAAAAGACCATGGTTGGAAATTGGGTATTTTAGAGTTCAATTTCAGCAAATTTCCTTGGATTTTTTTCTCTTGGATTTAGATATGATGGAACATATATATGAAAAGATTTTTGAAGAGCTATGTTAAATACCTCATTTGTTAACACTTTTAGTTATTTGCAGGAGGTAGAGGCTATTTATATTAAATAAATTACCCCAAGAGTTACATAGTTTACTATTTTCTGTTCTCAAAATTATCTTTAAAATACGTTGGCTTTAATTTTATCTGTATAAATGTCTTCTCCTATTCAAATAATAAGTGAAAGAATTTATAGTAGGTGGAGTATATAAGAGGAAAGAGTTTTTAGCCTTAATGAAATGTGATTCTGCTAAATTAACAAACATTTGTAAAAATAACTAGTTATCAAACAAAATATTTAAATATAAACTTTACAAATACATTTTAAAAATAAGATTGAATCAAGTACTGAGGATAGAAGGGGAGGGGTGGACAATAATCCAGTTGTCCCTATCTTATGAGAAGTAAATAAGATGATTACTTTCTAGATAAAGTGTAAAACAGCCACCTGTGTTGGTATTTTTCTCCCAAGGCGTTTGGGTCTGGGGTGTTTCTTTTTGTGTTTTGTTTTTGTTTTTGTTTTTTGTTTTTTTCCTTTTCTTTTTGAGACAGGATCTGGCTCTGTCACCTAGGCTGGAGTGCCGTGGCGCGATCTTGCCTCACTGCAGCCTCTGCCTCCTCGGCTCAAGGTATCCTCCTGCTTCAGCCTTCCAAGTAGCTGGGAATACAGACAAGTGCCACCACACCTGGCTAATTTTTGTATTTTTTGTAGAGATGAGGTTTTGCCATGTTGCCCAGCCTGGTCTCAAACTCCTGGGCTCCAGGGTCTACCCGCCTCGGCCTCCCGCAGTGTTGGGATTACAGGCCTGAGCCGCCGTTGCCCAGCCTTTTTCTGTAGTTTTCTATTTTTGTTGTTTGTATTTATTTAAGAGGGATTTCTGTCACCTTTAGTGAGATCCATCTGTCACAGAAGTGCCCAGCTGTGCCAAAAGCATTAAAAGTCTAGTCTGACACACATAAGCAGTGCAAAGTCTTGGCTGAAATTGGGAACCAGAAGATGGCAGGCAGCCCTATGCCCTTTTCCTTTTAAAATGAAAACGTTGATACAGGAAAGTAGAGGCACCTTGGAATTGCCAATACCTTTCAAGGGGTTCTTATTTAGTGGAGAATATGAAACTGGAGTGAAACAAGTCCTAACTAGTTGACACCACTGAATTACTGCCACAGGATAAGGGGACCATGAGACTGAGCCCTTTTCATTTGCTGAATACCAGAAATAGATCAGTTATAGCTTACCAGCTGTTTGAGTGGCTTCCTGGAGTTTTCAGTTGATGGTTTTATATTTTTGTTTTAAGATCTTAGCAAAGCAATGTCTCAAGATGGCGCTTCTCAGTTCCAAGAAGTCATTCGGCAAGAGCTAGAATTATCTGTGAAGAAGGAACTAGAAAAAATACTCACCACAGCATCATCACATGAGTTTGAGGTAAGGAGGTCTCCACAGTGGTTTTTTTTTTTTCCCCCCGCTTCATCTGTCTTCATACTGAGTTACTGCCAGTGATGATCATCATCATCCAACCTCAAATTAGCACAAGATGTATGATAACATCAAAAACAACAACAAAAAAAATAGAATTGCTTGACAATTAAGGGCTTTTAACATTTGCCCTTTGTAAATCCATCATCTTTTTTTCATTTAAGCCTAGGAAGTTTTCAAAGTCATTAAAATAATCAGAACCAAATTATACTTTGTTCTGTGTTTTGATGTCATTGGGTGGAGGAATGCATTCCTGTGTTCAGTCGGAATTGAGAGAGGTTAGCTTCATATGTCCTGCATGCCGTTTCCAAAGAGTCAATTCTGATAGAACCATGCTACTTTGACAATTGTAATAGAAGTTTCCCAGAACTGGGAGGCATTCACTTTTTTACTTACAAATCAGTGTGTTAGAATTTTCATTTTTATATTTCAATTCATACTTAATGTTTTGAAGCTAGCTGTGTTTTATTTCTCTTTGTTCTTTTACTGAAGATTAATTTTCATTTAGAAGTAGAGAAAGATATTGGTAAGTAAGTGTAGTGGCCAGGCGCAGTGGTTCTTACCTGTAATCCCAGCACTTTGGGAGACCAAGGCAGGAGGATTGCTTGAGCTCAGGAGTTTGAGACTGGCCTGGACAACATGGTGAAACCCTGTCTCTACCAAAAAATACAAAAAGTAGCCAGGCATGATGGTGTGCGCCTGTGGTCCCAGCTACTGGGGAGGCTGAGGTAGGAGGGTGGTTTAAGCCTGGGAGGCGAAGGTTGCAGTGAGCCAAGATTGCGCCACTACACTCTAGTCTGGACAACAGAGCAAAAATGTGTCCCAAAAAAAAAAAAAAATACAGAGCCAGTTGGAATTCCCATTAAACAAATGGTGTTTGTTTGTTTTTGGTTTTTTTTGAAACAGGGTCTCACTCTGTCACCCAGGCTGGAGTGCAGTGGTGCAATGTCCTCTCACTGCAGCCTCAACTTCTGGGCTCAAGTGATTCTCCCATCTCAGCCCCCGAGTAGGTGTGACTACAGGCACACACCACCACATCTGGCTGATTTTTGTATTTTTTTTTTTTTGTAGACACCAGGTTTTGCAATATTGCCCAGGCTGGTCTCAAACTCCTGAGCTCAAGTGATCAGCTGGTCTGAGCCTCCCAAAGTGCTGGGATTACAGGTGTGCACCAACCATGCCCAGCCTCTATTAGCTTTTAGGATGTGAAAAAATCTCTGCTCCCTCCATGTCCTAATGGTATAAGAATTTCATTCAAAGATATTTTAAATGTGTAACTTGTATCTGTCTTTATGTTTTTATTAAATATTTAGCATTCTGCTGGTTGTAACAATGACTTCTATTTTCACAGCACACTAAAAAAGACCTGGATGGATTTCGGAAGCTATTTCATAGATTTTTGCAAGAAAAGGGGCCTTCTGTGGATTGGGGAAAAATCCAGAGACCCCCTGAAGATTCGGTGAGTTTTAGATTAAATGTAGGAAAATCTAGGGTAATTTTGGACATTGGTTTAACTTAGGAGGGTAGGGTAGTATAGGGGACCTGTAACAATCATCATGTGAAACAAGACAGGACTTTCTTTGAATTCTCTGAGCCCTCATCCTGAAACTATGGAGACAACCTTCAGCTCCTTTCTCTTCTTTTAGACCTCTCAGAGTCTTGCTGAGGTCCTCTAACAGTCTAATCTCCCTGTGGCAGTACCCAATATCCCTGGATATGAAACGACTGTTTTGCAAAGTACTAAATATACCATAAGAGCTTCATTTATGTTTCTTCCTTCTCTCTTCCAAAACATTTGATTTCTCATTGCTTATAGGGTCATGGATTCTTTGCCAGACCTTAAAGCTCTCTTCTGGCTTTCAACCCATCTTTATAGCCTTATTTCCCATCTGCCTTATGTGAACCAGCCTAGCATTACCTTTATGCACATTGTATTCCCTTGCTTCTGGACTTCTGTATATGCTTTTTCTCGGAATGCCAGGGTCTCTTCTGTCAAAATACTGCCCATTCTTGGAGGTTCTATTCAAATGCCTGTACGTCTGTCAGCCTCTAGGAGAAAGCTGCACTGTGGAGGTATGGAGTAGTAGTATTAGAGGTTCAAATCCTAGCTCTTCTGCTTATGAGTTTTGTGTAAAATGAGAATAATACTAAGTACTTTATGTACTTCACAGGGTTATTTTGAAGCTTTTTTAATTTCTGTGGAAATATGTTAAACTTTGAAGCATTTTGCAAATGTTAGTGGTTATTTCTACCATCATGTGGCACTTAGTCAGCCTAATTAGTCGTGTTTGTAACTGTGTTGTCTTTCATATTAGATCCCGAAGCCAGGGGTTCATGTGTCTTGAGCAAATACTTGTTGAATGGATGATCTAAATGAAGTGATTGTTTAAGGATTTGGTTAACACATTGGCTTTCTTCCCTGTCCTTTCAGCGCTTTGGAACCCTGCTTCTTTCGGCACATTTCACTGCAGGTAGAAAAGACTTGATACAGTGGAATAATTATATGTAGATAGGTAATTTTTTATATGTGTATAATCTTACATAATCTAATATTGGTTTAAAAATTGGGCTGTTTATACAGCAGGGGTATGGCAAACTATTGCTTGAAAGCCACCTGTGTTTGTAAAGTATTATTGGAATACAGCTTCACTCATTAATTTATATACTATCTATCATAGCTTAAGCTAATGGAATCCCTCTTATTTTTTCCTAATGAGAAAATTAAATATATAGTGCCTAGTTAGAAGTATGTTTATTTGCACATGTGGAAAATGTCTTTCAGTTCTTAAACTTTTAAAAATTATGCATTACATTCTTAGTATAAAAAAAAGAAGCCAAAAAATAAAAATCTCATGTAATGTTCACTCTGAGGAGTCTCTTATTTTTGATGTTAAAACTAAAATTCCTCTTGGCTGTAATGCTTAATAATTACAATATGCATTTTTAGGGTCTGCTGTTTTGGTCTTTGATTTCCTTGGCCCTTGTGAATGGAGTGATTTATTTTTCTACTTTTAAGGAGTAGATTTAATAGTATTTTCTTTCAAGAAAGAGTTAGAAGAGAATTCTTCTGGATAGGTATGTTGTTTAAGAAAATAAGTAGGTATAAATTCAGTCAGATTTTTAAAAATGTTTGGGAACAGCCTAAACTTATAATAAATTTAGGCACTATTTATTTCCCCCCCCCACTTGAAACACTTATACCTTTTGTTTAGAAATTATCCTAATTTAAGTAACCTCCCTTATATAGTTTATGATGGACCTGGACCTGGGTATAGAAGTATAGTTTCTTTTTTTTTAGACAGTCTCACTCTGTCACCCAAGCTGGAGTACAATGGCATGATTAAGGCTCATTGCAGCCTCTATTTCCCTGGGCTCGTGTTCTCCCACCTCAGCCTCCTGGGTAGCTGGGACCACAGGTGTTTACCAACATGTCTGGCTAATTTTTGTATTTTTTTTTTTGAAGAGATGGGGTTTTGCCATGTTGCCCAGGCTGTTCTCAAACTTCTGGGCTCAAGCAATTTGCCTGCCTTGGCCTCCCAAAATGCTGGGATTACAGACATGAACCACTGTTCCTGACAGTGGTTTTGGTCTTAATTCTTGCTTGCAGACCTGGGAATTTTTTGTTTTCTACTATACAAACTTAACTTTTTGGAGATAGAGCCTACTTGAAGGAAGGTACACAGATTTATTATGTTCAGTATATTTTAAGGTTCAAGAATTACTTTTTTTCAGTGGAGAAATCTATCTTTTGTACTTTGAGAGATCATGATATATAGTAGGGATCCTTGAAGTGGGGTTCAGAGGGTGGAGAAGGAAGGAGAAGAGGAATCAGAATCACCTTGGGATTTTTTCAATTCAGTACTACCCTACCCCATTCCCAAGAAAGTTCTGGTAAATTCTTTCAGGAGGCTATGCCCATGTAGTGAGCCATAGTTACTGATAGTAATACCGAATTGATATAGGACAAAAGAATAGATATATAAAACAAATTCTAGATGTAATATGATTTTATGCGGTCTTTTTCTGTTTATAAAAGTATAAGTCTTCATTAAAAGTGTCTTTATTTTGAAGCCTACGTTTTAAGCTTCTTCAAAAAATGTATTTGCAATCCTGTATGCCCTTAATGTTGAAAATTTTGGAATGCAGAGGCAAAAGATAAGTTTGCTCTTCAACTATGTCATGAGTTTCTTGAGGGCACAAATGTGTTTTATATACAGTATGCATGTTACTAGCTTTTGCAGATTGCTCTGAGAATACAAATCATGGGTTAATGTTTGTTCACCTTGGTTCTGTTGGATGCCTCCTTCCAGCCTCCTCTCCCCACTCTTCTCTTTCCCATAGGTTTCCTTTCTCAGGCCTTAGAGATTATATAGAGGTCAATTTTCCTTTCAAAACATAATTTTAAAAAGTGAACATAGGTCTTTTTTAAAAAAATGCAAATAATATTTTATATTCCTAAGTGAAAAGAAATTACTGTGGAAGAACAGCCATTTAGAGTAACATTTCTCATGTCAGCCTTGTATCAAAGGTGTGACATAAACATTGTCATACCAATGAATCTATGTTTTTGTGTATGGGTTGACAATTAGCAGAGTCAGCCACCTGGTTTGTAAGTAAAGTTTTATTGGAACACACACACACATTCATTTACCTATTGTCTATAACTGCTGTTTTGCAACAATGGCAGAGTTGAATAGTTGGAGTGGAGACAGTGTGACTTGTAAAACCTGAAATACTTATTATCTGGCCTGTTTACTGACCCCATTTTAGCGTATGTATTTTCGGAACATCTTTAGTAGCTTTCTTTATTTCTTTGGCTCTCAGAAAACTGACCTCATACGCCTTTATCATTTCAGATGATCACTTTTAGAATTTTTATCTTTATTTTTTATTTTCTTTTAGAGATGAGGTCTTGTTCTGTCACTCAGGCTGGAGTGCAGTGGCAGAACCACAGCTCACTACAGCCTCGAACTCCTGGGCTCAAGGGATCCTCCTGCCTCAGCCTCCTGAGTAGCCAGGACTACAGGCATGTGCCACCAAGCCCGGCCAATTTTTTTTTTTTTTGGAGTGACGGGGTCTCACTATGTTGCCGAGACTGGTCTTAAACTCCTGGCCTCAAGTGATCCTCCTGCCTTAACCACTTTTTAGATAAAAATAGTTTTTCATAAATACTAGATTGAAGGACATACTTTATAGATAGGCATTGAAATTTGATATTGTGAGGTTTTACTCATTCTTACCTTTTGTGTTGAATACTTTGTTTTAGCTCTCGGTGAATACATAGATGTTTTGTGAGAAGTCTTTTGAGTTCATGTTTTATTGAATTATGGCTAACACGAACCCAGGTTATAGAGTTATGGATAGTGCTCTGCTCCTTCTTTGTAAATGTTAACTAAATATAATAATCAAGATTATACAAATATATGTATGTGTATATATATTAAGGTTAATGTTTTAAATTAGGGCAAAGAAGGACAAGCCAGCATGTGTAGCTTCATTTGACCATTTCATTGTTTTCCAGAGAGGTTATGAGAGTGTCTTGGTCCTTGTCAAGCTTACATGTTGGGCATGGAGAGGAATGGGAAATAGATCAGAATTATGAGAAAGTATGGGGCCTGTTCAAGAAGGTATTGGAGCTGACAGGTTCTCTTGAACGCTAATTTAAAATCTGTTAGTCACATGGCTGGCACTGACCCCTGGTGATGATGTATTTTCATTTCTGTACAAAATATTCTCTAAACAAGGCTTTTTTGCCAGCACAGGCAACATAGATCTCGCCTCTGCAAATTTTTTTTTTTTAGTTAGCTGTGCCTGGTGGCATGTGCCTGTAGTCCCAGCTACTTGGAAGGCTGAGGTAGGAAGATCACTTGAGCCCAGGAGTTTGAGGCTACAGTAAGCTATGATCTCGCCATTGTACTCCAGCCTGGGTAACAAAGCGAGATCGTGTGTCCAAAAAAAACAAAACAAAACAAAACAAAAAACTCCACGACTTTTCATTTCAATATTAAATAGGATCAAAAGAGTGAAGGTATATTTGCAAATGGTGAGGAGTCACATGGGGTCATAGGGTAGAGAATTGGCATGAAGAGAATAGCATGCATCAATGTGTATTTAGCTCCAATGGATTTTTTGTTTTGTTCCATAAAATTGCTGAGAGGTTTTCTTAGTCTATCAATACAAAAACATTAAAAGCTATTGTTTGTTTATAAGGAAGTCTGAGCAACTTACAGTTTATGTGTGTAGATACATAGCATTTTTTTTTCTGAAGGTGAACCATAGTACACTGTGCATTTAAAGTTTGCACATTAAAAAAAAAATCTAGAGGCAATCTGGCCAAGCATCTGACATAGTATGCCATATAGGATGATATGCTTTGAGCATGTGAAGATTTCCCAGCTGCAGCTAGCCAGTAGTAAAGCCATTAGAGACTTGTTTTGTGTGTATGTAGAGATACACACA